AAGAGCTCTCTGCTCTTGCAGCGGACCAGGGTTCAGTTCCCAGCACCCACATGGTGGCTAGCAACAGTTCTTAACTCCAGTTCCAGGGGATCTGACACCCTCTTCTGATTTCCTTGGGCACTGCATGACATGGGTACACCTACACATAAAAATTAAAACTAATTTAAAAAAAAAAAAAACTTCAGCTTTTTTAATTCAGTAGAGACAGTCTATATTTTGTTTGCTCAATATTTATCAAGTATCTGTTATGAAATGTTAGTTCCTGGGGCTGGAGAGATGGCTCAACTGTTAAGAGGGCTGTTCTTGCAGAAGACCTAGGTTTGAATCCCAGCATTCACATAGTGGCTAACTCCAGGGAGTCCGACACCCTCTTCTGTCCTACTCTAAGCACTGCACAACACAGGTGCACTTATATAATGCAAGCATTACACTCATACACATAAAATTAAATTTTTTCAATTTTTTAAATTTATTATTATTTATTTTCTGGTCTTTTTGAGACACGGTCTCCCTGTAGCTCCAGGTGCTTGGAACTCACTCTGTAGACCAGGCTGGTCTCGAACTCAGAGGATCTGCCTGCCTCTGCCTCCTGAGTGCTGGGACTAAAGGCGTGCACCACCACACCTGGCAATTTATTATTTTTATGTGTATGTATGTATTGCCTGTGCCCTCAGAGGTCAGAAGAGGCTGTCGGATCCCTTGGGACTGGAGTTACGGACCGTTGTTAGCTGCCATGTGGGTGCTGGGATTCAAAAACAGGTCTTCTGCAAGAATAACCAGTGTTCTTAACCACTGAGTCATCTCTGCAGCACCAAAATAATTTTTTTAAATGTAGTTCCTGTTGGGCATGGCAGCTCATAACTATAATTCCAGGAATTGGGGGGCTGAAGCAAAAAGATTGCCAAGAGTTTGAGTCTGAGGCCAACCAAGGATACTTAATGAGCTCCAGGCCAGGCAGAGCTATACAACACCCCAACACACATGCACATATATAAGGTGATTTCTATTGTCAAGTAATTCAACTCCAATTAATATATAACCCTATGTCTCCTGTGTTGTATGGTGCAACTGCTCAACTCTGTCGTGAACACAAGTAGCTACAGACCATGGGTACGGCTGTATTCCAGTAAGTTATTACGAAAACAAGTTGCACTCAGTCTATGGACCCACATTACAGCTGAATAGA